ATGTGTGATGTTTGTTTTATAACTTTTTAATTTATTTTTCATGAGTTGTAAGTAACCAAGTTGTTTCCACAAAAGTCTTTTGGATATGTCCAATAAAAAAGAATGTTCAGAAGAATAGCATTCTTAAAAACATTAATCTGTATGTGATGATAATGTCAAAGCTAATATCTGTTTATATGTTACATTGCAAACATTATTCTTATAAAATATCAGTAGAGTCATTAATATTTTGAATTACAAATTTGGTTTTAGAACAAGTAGTAAAATGGAGATGCAAGCTTTCTAAATTGAGACAAATAAATATATCAATTCAAATTGGGTTGACTTACCTCTGAAATATTAAAAGTCTTTTCTTGTTGAGTTACTTGCATGCTATTAACTACCATGTGACTCGAAATTCTGAATGTCCTTGATGCAGTGCAAAACGTATATGTCAATTTACCCAGTATTCTCCATGTGACATTGCTCATGCATCAGGAAAATATACAAAAATCCTGCTTTTTTTTTCTTCCATAAATCAGATTTTCTTGTTGACAATCATGATGTTAATTTTATTATGAATTCTGAATTTTACATTAATTCATATACTTATACTTCTACAAATATTGTGAATTCTTCTACTTTGGATGCCTGATACAATCTGCCTCTAGCATCGAGGGACATCCCATGGCTGCATTGTCACCTCTCATTGATCCATATATTTGAACCATTAATGATGAATTGTTTGCAAGCATCCCTGATGGGTTTCAAGCTACATGAATACTCAGATTGTGGCAAACCCACCCATTTGTCACAATCTTGAATAAGACTGTTCATTTACTCAGGCATGTTTACCTTCAGTGTTTGAAGAACAGGATTTGTCAGTTAGCTCTAATCCTGACAAAGCTTCTGCCGGGCTGATTTCTTTCTTTTTCTCAGGTGTGTTCTAATTTAAACTTTGAACCTACTTCTGTTGCAATTGCAAGCACTAGTATCATGATAGAAGATTCATTTCTAGCTTACCAATTTACTGCTCTTCCCTTCAGCTTGATCTCAACTCTTTACATTTTCTGTCAAGAAATTAAGCATGAAATGCATCTCCACCCACTTCCTCACAACCAGGAGGAATATATTATCTCATTACTACTACAAATAAAGAAATTATAGCAGGGGTTATGCAAGATCTCCTGATACAGGTGCAGTAAATGAGTGGAAAGTGGGAGAGTAAAGAATTTAGGTAAGTTTATGTATACTTTTTATTACATCAAGGACATTTAGAATTTAAAGTATTGTGGTTGTTGGCATCATAAAAGGAATTCAACAATGAAAAAGGTTTTCAATATTACAGGTATGTCCCTGTTTAAAATTCATTTTGATTTAGCAAATGTAAAATTTTGTGTTCTTTTAAACTGATACTGTAGGCTAAAATTTAAAACTGCTATTTTCTTGACATTTATAACATAGTTTTACTTTTATTACACTTGAAGTTTTATGCTCCTTAGCTGAGGTCTTATACAGGAGACTAGCTTTATGTAGTGACTGATTTTCAACAGGATTAGACTTGTACAGAAAATGTGAGTAAACTGTAGAGGGTTACCCCAATGCAAAGATAAACTAGCAAAAATCAGACTTTCCCAAAACTGTTGTTAAAGGTAAAAAAGAAAATGGGTTGATGGGAGAACACAAAATATTGGGTGAAAAGAGTCTACCTTTCAGTAGAATAGAATAATTTGGATATTGTCACTTAGTACCAAAAGAACACCAAAATATTTCTAAAATCTGAAACAAATTTAGTGATTTAAGACATGACAGAATTTAAAAAACTGCCTGGACTTAATTCCATTGGATAATTTTTTTTTATTTGTTAATGAATGATGAATAACTGATGGGATCCTGTCTGTCTTCAGTGATTTTAGAAATCTACACAATATCTTGAGATTACTGCTATATCAACATTTTCCTTTCACATAAGAAATTACTTGGATATATTGATGATGTTTTCATCCTATACCATATGGTCATGATGAAGGTGAAAACACTTCAAAGCTTTGGAATTATCTAGGGTAATCTAATACATTTCCTGCTGGAACTTAAATAGGAAGACTCCATTTCTTTTTTGACATCTTGGTCAAAATGGTGTAGAAAACAGGTCCTTAAAAATATTTGTATGTAGAAAAGAAGCACAAGGAAAAACACTTGTGGTTTAACCATTTGACAACTGCAAAAAAAATAAAAAAATAGTGAACATCCAATGCTATAGAGCACGAAGATTGCAGCACTGATGATTTTGAGTCAAAACTCAATGATCTGGAGTATATGTTCATTAACTCCTCCTCCTCTAGATTTTAGGGTACTTGCTTGTAGAAGTCATGGGAAAGTTTGAGACTTTTGACAAAACTTCAATGATTTTGCTGTAATAAATTTGTTATGAAGAAAAATAGCTTGAAGACAATGTATGACATGTATTAGTATGACAAATGCATAAGATTATCCTTTGTCAAATGGACATACCATAGCCTCTCTTTTGAGAGAAAGGGGTAATGACTTGAGGGAGTTAAGAACAACTATTACTCAAAGTAAATCTAATGCACTTTACTGAATCCACTACCAATGGGGAGTAGACATTATTGCTAATCAGCAATAACCAAATCATTTCATTGATAAATAGTCACTACACTACCTATAGAAGTCTTTAGCTAAGGAGCTGAAAGTATTTAGTTTAATAAAAATAAAACTTTTATGTTATCAACAAATTGTATAATTTAATGCCATAACAATGATTGTTAATGAAGATAATGATGATATTTAAGGCATGTTTCTGTATTTCCATTTTTGTTAAGTTACAATAATCAAATAATTTTTCCTTTGTAATGTAGTTGTTATACTTTCAATTGCATTGCCCAGAATAGCATAGTCTAATGTCTTACCAGTGTTTATTAGTGGAGATAAAGAAAGTACATAGGACATTTTTGTGTTTACATTGTTGCTAATGGACAGTATTCAAATTGTTCAACTGAAGAATTAGTTACATACAGTCTACCTGTAGAAGCCTTTGTTTAAGGAGCCAAAAGCTCGTAGTTTTACAAAACTGTACAACTGTATGATTTAATGTGCTAGATTAATTACTAATATTGTTTTTGTTTCATTCACAATCAAGATCTATTAAAATACAAGCAATATCCTAAAGCTCATTAAGAGTTGCTACTAAAAATATTCTAAATTTGGAGTAGTGATCTATGTTTTATTGCAGTATAACCAAACCAAAGAAAGATATTATAATGAGGTGGCTCAAACATAAAATAATACTGGGCAAAAACGTTATTGCTCAAACTTTATTAGAAAAAAAAACTTTTTTT